CTTTCCCTGATCCGCCTGACGACGGGATCGCGTGCGTGCACACTGGGAGGAGCGAGGTCGGAAGGAGGTCAGAGTTACCGAGGGCACCGTCCTTTTTGTTTTCGGAGCAATTAACGTCGCACCGATGTGACGGCCTCCTTTTGCTGAATATCTTACGTGTTGCATCGGCTGGAAAATTGACGCTGTTTGGCAAAATTGGAGTTCACAGAGAGCGAGTTTGGCAGTCGAGTCGAGAGCTGGGTTAACAGGCGTGAAAACGGGCTGAGTTTTTGGTCTTGGTAGGCTTTACTGTGTTTAGAAAATTGGACTGTACATAGATTGTTTTCTTGATGTTGAAATGGTATTAGATTTTCATAGGAAATGTATAGAGTATGAATGGTATTTTAATCTCCCAGGATAAGTATGACTTAGGTTTGCATAAACGTTGTTTGATTTCGGGGAGTGGGGTGAAGATTGTGCTGTCATTTATTTGACAGTGCAATGAAATGCCTATAAAGATCAAGTTCTACAGAGGTTGGAATTTTTAAATTAGAATTAGATGTTATTCAGGTATGTTGATATACCTAAAGTACTATCTTTTGACAACACTCGTTCCTTTTTGAAGATATACGTTAACGGGCGTGAAAACGGGCTGATTTTTTGGTGTTAGTAGGCTTTACTGTGTTTAGAAAATTGGACTGTTCATAGATTATTTTTTTGGTCTTGACATGGTACTTTATCTTAATTTCCCAGGACAAGTATGTCTCAGGTTTGCATAAACGTTGTCTGATTTCAGGCGGAGGGGAGCAGATTATGCTGTCATTTATTTGACAGCCTATAGCTTGGAAACGCCTATAAAAATCAAATTCTACAAAGCTCGGAATTTTTAAATTAGAATTACGTATTATTCAGGTATATTGCTATACTCAAAGTACTATCTTTGGCAACAATCGATCCTTTTTTGAGATATACGTCTTGGAAGATTAAAATGGGACATCCTGAATATCAACAATATCAAAGGTGATAGGGGAGCAGATTTTGCTGTCATTTATTTGACAGCATATAGCTTAGAAAAGCCTATAAAAATCAAATTCTACAAAGCTCGGAATTTTTAAACTAGAATTACGTATTATTCAGGTATATTACTATACTCAAAGTACTATCTTTGGCAACAATCGGTCCTTTTTTGAGATATACGCCTTGGGAGATTGAAATGGGCCACCCCTGTGTATCAACGACGTCGAAGGTGATATACTTAATTAGGTTTATTATTGTTTCCGGGCAGCCTATGCTTTCACTTAATTTTCAAGAATCACAGAAAGTTCATTAGTGACGGAATGCTCTGTAAGCACAAATACGACGTGCATGCAATCAGTTGGAAAGTAAGGCGAGGTGAAATCCGCTTCGGGTCTATTTGCTTTATCGACTAAATTGGCCGTGCATCGGAACAGGTACAAATATTATTATTTTCCGAGAGTAATAATTGTTTTTTCATCGGAGAATTTTCAGTCCGGCGAAAAAACCAGCGGGAGCCGCGAGCTTGTTTGCTTTGTAAGCAACGTTCTTCGTATGCCCCACGCAGTCGAGATATTAGAATATAAAATTCATTTTTAAAAGCGTTCTCCCTATTTCCTTTTTTTTCTTTCTATTGTTCTGCGTATCATGGTGGCTTTAAAATTAACGATAACAATCAAAAAGGTCTTAATAATCTTCGAATTTTATTATTAATAAGCAACAAGATTCCATAATTGTTTTTAAATATAGAGCTGAGTGTTGAAGTATGTTAAATTTAATTAAATAATTTTTAAATATTCCTTTTTATAATTGTTCTGTGATAATATTCGATGAAGCATGTACATTCTGTCAGTTCGATAACTTGCAGATCAATGAAGCGCGATTGGATGTACCTTAAAGGAATCTTTCGATACGACTCGCTATTGAGAAACCTAATTTAATTTTCCTCCTTATTTAATATTTAAGAATTTTAATATAAATGAAGTTATAAACACGATAAGCTCTATAGAAAATATTATATATCGATTTATTTCGATATCTTTCATTATGTATTTTAATATTTATTTTAAGTACCGAATATCATTTCTGTTTATTAAAGATTATCAATTTGCAGGAATAAAATATTCCAGTAT